CGCTTACGAGCCAGAATGGGGTACTGAAGTCTTTGTCCGCTGATCTCCCATCTGAATCAAGTGCTGGTGTTAAGAGGAGCTAAAACTCCATTTTGGTCATAAGTATTCATGCTGATTTGATAAAACATAAGGTACCTTAATCGATTCCCAACTGTTCGTTACCCTCGTCTGCATTAGCCTCGCAGCAAATGAATGGATCGCTTAAGTCTGTACCGTACACTATATGGTGGATGTGTTCGGGGTATCCGACGCCCTGCTCCGATGTCTCATCTCTATTTTTGTCTCTCTTACTCTTGGTTAACACCGACGGTCGGCGGACGGAGAAATGGGCCACCAGCCATCCAACACCGCCTGCAAGCCATTTGATACCTCACCGCCACACCACTACGTGTAGGATAATGTTAGCCCAGTATTATAAATAAATATCTACATACCATTATATATAGCTTACAGCAGCAAAAGCTGAAGCTAATTTCAGTACCAGCCTGTGTTGAACGCCACCCCCCCCTACACCCCCCAGTCAGTTCCGCCTATTAAAAAAAAAGATCAACACATTTCCTCACACAAAGAAAAGTTGTAAAGTTTATTCTGACTGTATAAAAACGTCTGGACATAAATATTCGCGATGTGAAATGTAGTACTTCGCATGGGTTATGATTCTTGGTTGAAATTTATGTTTTACTGTTGAGCATACAAGCTAGCATATACTGGGCTTCGAAAATGGTGGATATTATTTATGCTCTAAGCTCGGAATATCTGAGGTTCGATAATCGAGATCGGAGAGTAATTTTCTTGTTTCCTAGCTCTAAATGCGGGCTGAAAAAGAACGGCCCACGAAGAAGTTTAATTCGTAACGCAGTGATGCTCATGTATCCAATGGCCTGTTTTTAATAATACACGTGTTTAAAATCCCTAACTTATACATTCTATGCAAAAGGCCCTGCATCGCAGAAATATACTTCTAATAAATCAAACCGACGTTTCGGCATACTTAGTATGTACATAATGTTTCATTTCCCAATACAGCTGAGACATTAAAATGACTAGCTACATACTGAACGATCAGGGATCGATTCCCGGCAAGAGTATAGATTTTTCTCCTCGCTACCACGCCCAGACCGTGTATAGTTACGTCAAAGAACGGATCAAAATGAACCAAATCATTCACCGATTAGACCCTGGGCTGAGTTCCAATGACAAGTCGTTGACTCTCATAATTTTTCCTTCGTGGACCCGTCTCATTCGACAATCAGTTCATGGAATCTGCACAGTCTTCCTTAACGAGTCGGACAACAGAAACTTTGTATTCTGACGAAGGCCAGTGGTTAAGTACGTACAATGAAAGGGCGCTGAAATCTATGGCCAGTAAAGCGAATACGTAGATCGTAATAGCAAAGAAACTGTTGAACGGGACAGTTGCTACTCGCCACGTAGCCATTCGCCTTGGTTGAGGTATACCGACCTTAATTTGCAGAAAACAAATTCCTTCTTAAGAAGACAATACCCGCTCAGCTGATCAATAAATTTCTGTTTTATGGAACCCGAAAGTTCCTTTCCGTGTTTACATCAGCCGGCCACTGACCCGTCTTGAGCCATAGTCCTCAAGTCCTGGTTGTATCTGATCCGTTTTCAGTAAACTTCCATCTACTCATAGGTCTCC